GGGGCTTATTTCACAGGCTACAGTCCCGAATTCAGGGGTTAATGAGAGCTAGGACCCTGGAGCTTGTCCAGCTGTAGCCGGTAGCATCTCTTGCAACAAACAACATAAAAGTGTTGCAGTCAGAAAGTAGTCAGCATCTGAAGGACCAAATGGCCCTTAAAAGCAGGGGCCCTGTACCCATATACTATGAATCCCTATACGGTTTCAACACTTTTAGGGTTCATTTCGTCCTTAAGGAAAGAGTTGCAGAACAAAACCCTAAACCCTAAAAACCCTAAACCCTAACCCTAAACCCTAAAAACCTTAACCCTAAACCCTAAAAACCTTAACCCTAAACCCTAAACCGCATGACGACGAGACCGGCCTTCTTCTCCACGGAAAGCACGGTCCCCATCTCCTGTCACAGGCAGGGAAGCCAAAGACCACTTGAAGACTAGAGCAATCTGTCATATCTTCTATACCCCCCTTAGAAGCGCAATGAACATGTTACTTCTTAATATTCTCTTGGGTTCTATATGAACAAAAATACAAAAATAAATCCTAAAGAGACGATAGTCTTATTGTAAACTCTGAAAATTGGCGGCTCGATTACGCCAGCACGTCTCTACCCTTCGCACTTACTTTCAGGCATGCTTGGTTTGATAAGTTTTCCTTGCATCCCGGGGTAAGTGTTCTTCGTATCCCTTACAATCCTTTAACGCCCATAGCCCATTTTAGTTCCCAGTTGCTGAAAGCATCAGGAGTGAGATTGCAAAGCTTTACCTTACGCTTTCCTCAACATGTGCACCTGACGACCGGGGCAAGAACCTGCGACTGCTTTCTGGATCCAATACTTAGGAGTAATTAGATGGAATTCCGCTGGCTCAGTTTATGGCCTCTGGATAAGCTGAGTTGTCGAATATTGGTGTAGCCACATAAGCCTTTCTTGTAGCCTTGCTTGTAGCCCGCATGAGCGGTAGAAGCCCGTTCACCAAGCTTGGCCCGGAGCACCAATGCCAGCTGCAACTACATAACTGTCAAAGTAGTCGTAGAAACGACATGGCTTGTGGCCTCGACAACTAGATCGCTGGTTGCTCCACTTCTCATTTCTGCTCATGACAAAAGGACAATAGCCAGGCGTTGAGATTCTGAGGATATCCCTCGGGTAGCAAGAAAACCTCAATGCGCCGCCGTTGCGCACGATCGCCGTGAATATTGTAGTGATTGAAACGATATGGGAGTTTCCGAAAATAGGGGACCCTAATATAGCACCCTAAATAGTAGGATCCTTATTATAAGGACCCCAAAATAAGGTACCCCTTATTTTCGGAAACCCCCATATGGAGGCCTGCTAGGTATGAATAGTGGGCAATGGCGGCAGAGCCGGCGTAGCATCCCGACCTCTGGGTTTGTGTAGCCTAATTGAAGGATCATGGGACATGGTAATTGGGGTTATAAATAAGGTAAGTATACTTATAATTACTTATAACCCTAATTGGCGTACTTATAACCTTACTTACTAAGTCCCAAGATCCTCCAAGTAAACAGACCCCCGGGAGGATCCACAAAGTAGATCCCTTAATGGTCTGGGTAAGCACTGCCAAACAATTTATGCAATGGGCTGGCAGCAAAAATCATGGCAGCGAAAATGCAAGCCGCGAGCCCTAATCCCTGTACCCCAGACCAAACTCCCTAAACTAAATTACAATTAGAAGAGGCTTTCGGGGCCCATTATACTATACTTATGATAAGCAACCCCCCAAAAGAGCACAGGTAATGATTTAGGCCCCTATAGTAAAACCTAATCACCCAATCCAGACGGGTTTTGGTGGCCTCCACGATTCCGGTGAAGACCATGGTGCCTGCGTGCCATGTCGCATGCACTCTGGGCAAAACAGGGGGCCTCGATAACTTTAAACTTGGTCTTGGGGGTAGGTTACAGTGGGCTTGTAGGGATTAGGCTGATTAGGGTTTAGGGCTGAGGGTGATGAGGAACCCTATAAGGATCATCACTGGTAACTATTCGAACGGTTGTGGCTTCTCAGCCCACGACCCCTGTTTAGGGCTGCAAAGTGCAAGTCTGATACTCGCAATGCCTGCACTTCCAGTGCTTGCATTTCCTCGATGCAGGAACGCTGACATCCTGTCGTCCTGCATAGTAGGTAGTAGTAGGTAGCTGTCTTGTTCGTCCATACCGGAGCCACCACAACCAGGAGCTTCTGTAGCTCGGCCATGACCTCGCGATTGTCCCGATCATCCGCCGTCCCATGGCGACAAGACGACTGCTGAACACTGCAACAGGGTAGGAACTAAGCACGACACTCTTGTTTTCAATTCCTTGAGAAGAACTGAGAGCATTGGCCTGCAGCGCTTTCAGTGCCCCCAAAACACCATCTGAGATTCTTCAAGCAGCCAAAGCAATGTGGCTTCGTTCTGCCTCATTGCACCGTGAACAGTTCCAAATCACGCTGAATATTGTTCTGTGAGCAAACCCATCATTCCCCGTTACACACATTCACAATGTCATGGCAGATAAATTAAAATAACTACGTGCATGTGGCTCTGAGCAAAATGTACTGTTATAACGTATTACACACTGGTAGTATGAGCCCTTATGTATTCTTGAATGCCCAGGCAAATCTTATTTGACCCAAAGTCCGATTTATGGCATGGCACGGCGGTATCTGCAAGACACTATGCTACCCCGAAAAAGCATTCACCTGAGGATTCGCACTGTTTCAGCAACTTTGCCTTGTGTATAAACTTGTATACACACGTATATTCACGTATACATGTCTATGTCTGCGTGTTTTTGGTCAGTTTGCCATGGCACAGCGGAGCCAGGTTGCATGCGAGTGTTTTCTGCAAAGTATCGAGACAAAGATTCACAATCATACCATTTGAGACCTTTGGTTTCAATAGCAGCTTCAAGTTTCATGAGCCTGCAGGTCATGAACTTCAGTCCTGAGGTACATGTTAGTACCTTGCATACGGAGTACAAGGGGATACTATTGCGGCTCACTCGAGGCGTTTACTGCTGAAGAGTGAATGCTTAACAGCTCAGGCCCTTAACTTCAGACCCCACCATTTAGGGTGTCGGGTGTGAGGTTTAGGGCTTCGGGTCTAGGGCAGCTTGAAACTGAGTATGTTAAGGCCTATACTGCAAGCCTCTACCCAACCCCGAAAACGAGATGATGCTCCCAACCCTAGCACACGCACACTCTAAACCCCAATCCCCACATCCGCACAAAATGTATACCGCACCGGGGCCTGCAAATGCCCAGCGGCTCGAACCAAGAGTCGGTGACGAAGCAGTGATCGGCTAAAGATTTCTGATGGCGTTTTGTCGCTGCTATCTTCTAAGCCAAGTTGCATCATGATCAAGCTTATTGTGGCGACTAGCAATAAAACCAATATCTTGCACCAAGGGCTGTGATTGATCAAAACCTGCTTGTTCATGCAACATGATGATAACGATGAAACTCTTTATTGTAATGCTCAGAGCAGCTGTTCGCGTAAAACAACTGAGAGTGTTGGAGCGCAAACAATCCGATGATACGTTTGCGGCTGCAGGATTCTGCAGTTATCTGAAGACTACTACCATTGATGCTGCTGCTCCCATAGCAGTTGACAGTTGATGACTGAAGAAACTCCATATAAACAGAGTGCTAGCGATGCTAGGACCACAGTGTCGATGAGACCTCGAACTATCGTTACCTAAACCCTAAGCCCCTGGAACCCTCAGCCCCTAAGCCCAAAACCCTAAAACCTTAAACCCTAAATGCAAACCCTAAACCCCTAGAACCACTAAACCCTTAAACCCCACCCCTAGGACGTAGCCCCCAAACTCCAAATCCTGGGCAGCTCGACGCTCGAGAGCAACCACTCAAAAACTGTCTGGTTCATAGTAGGGAATGGTACGGGGAGAGGGTTTCTTTAAACGGCTACTATAAGGGGGTACTATGGGGCTTTAGTATAGGGGCCTTACTATCATCTCTGCTATCTGGTTCTTAGTAAGGAATGGGGGAATGGGTTCGGGAGACTTCAGGGTTTAGGATTTAGGGCTTAGAGTTCGGGGTTTAGGGTTTTGGTTTAGGGTTTAGGGTTTGGGGGTTAGGGTTCAGGGTTTAGGGAATGGGGCATTGGGACTATTGTTGAGCATTATATAGGGACTACTATAGGGATCCCTTCCCCCATTCCCTAGTAAGCACCAGGCAGTCAAAGCACACCAGAAGCAAAACGATCTCGAAACCCGCAATATAGGGGCCTTAATAGTTAAAACCCTAAACCCTAAACCGTTAGAATAGGGTTTCGGAATACAATAAGGAAATTTATAGATAATTCTTGAAGCCCCTGTAGTAACACCTAAACACAGTATCATAAGCCCCAAGATCTTCCTAAAGACTATCACCGAAACCACGGAAATGAACATAAAGTGTACCCAATGGCCCTTTTATGGAGCCCTTATGGTCCTTAATAGTGGGTATTTGGGAGATATTAGAGTTTAGTTGGGGGGTCTAGGTCCTGACGAAACTTGAAGATCAAGCTGTTGGTTGGTTCAATGCTGCGGGATGAAAAAACCAGTCAACCTTCTGTTTAGGACCAGGAGGCTGTGTAGACTGAAGGCTATATCAGGGCCGGGGACAGCTTTCACTATGTCTACAAAGTTTTTCAGGACTGACATCGGGCTGACATGAAAATAGATCGGTACCTGGGTTCAGGAGACCTCTAGCAGAGGTTTACAGAGCCAACCATATGTAACGCTCCTTTAGAAGTGTGACTGGCTTTGGACACCGTGTCAGCAGGCCAGAAGTAGGCTGCTAATCAGGATAATCCTATGTCCGCACCCTAAACCTAGGTCGGGTTCAGACCTCGCAAGCCAGGGTGTAGGGTTAGCAGGGTTTCTCAAAGGCCTGATTCAAAGGCTTGATTGGGTTACGTTTCCCTTCATCGGGTTCAAAGGGCATCGGAAGCCCTAAGCCCTGCAACCCTAAACTTGGCATGTGCCCACTGTTTCTTCGTCAGTATGGCGGTCCAGCTTGCCGGGGAACCTGATGGCCACAAAGCCGCGAATAATAATGCTCAAAATAACTAATTACAATAATACGATCAAGAACAAAAATAATGCCAATGATACTACTTAGTACCAAAAAATGACAGTCATGCTCATAGTACTGGCAGAAAAAATTATCATAGAGCATGAGCTGATACTTTTAATTATTATGGTAATTGCAGGGTTCTACATACCCAAGCACAGGTTGAAGCTAAAGGTTCCCTACCTAGTCTGTAAACTTCGTGGTTCCGTCGTTCTTGTTTAGTGTCTAGAGGTTTAGGTCAACTGATGGGGACTATGCCGTCGAGATTTTTTCAATCAGAAACGGTCAAATGGTGATGCTGACGGCGATATTGATGAAATTTTGGCAATGACGCTGCTGCTGCCAATGATGATGCTGGTGGCGATGATGATTATCATGTGTGTGTTAACAATGATGAGGCACATAATGATGCTTACAATGAGCCGAGAAGTTGCTGTTGCTGAAACTACATAGATGCCGATGTAGATGTTGCTGTTTGTGACGTCGCAGCCGTTGCCGTTGATGCATCGAGTCGTCTTCATCACCGTAAACGCTACATCCAAAAGCCTGACTATCCTAAACCCCGAAACTGTGAATCTTGGGCCCGCAGCTGCAACTACAACAGCTGTTGAAGCGGTACGAAAGCATGAACCTAATACTGATTACAATCATCGGAATCATCAGACTATGGTTGCTACACTAAAACGAAAATTATCTGGGTATATCAGTGAACGGGATACTAACGCTGACTGTGCCACTGTACACCGGACTTGTTCAGGGTCCTTAGCTAGTAGCCCTTCGAGATAGACAGTACATGACTTGGCACAGACTGACCCGCGGAGGGATTGACAATACAGCAAAGTTGTTCTGATGGTTTGGGGCGGTTTAGGGTTTAGGCCGAATGTAGGAATCTGACTAAGAAACCATGGTGCCATGACCCCCAACACACTAGGATTCATATAAGGAACCCTAGTCAAGGCCCAAGGTTTCTAAATCAGGTTCCTACATCAAACACCCCAAAACCCTTATAGTACCCTTATAGACCCCTTTAAAGGAATTTCGTATAGATCCCTTTAAAGGAACCCCTATAGATCCCTTTAAAGGAACCCCCATAGATCCCTTTAAAGAAACCCCCTATACTATACATCCCTTTAAAGGAACCCTGAACCCTTGAAGCCTAGATCTGAAGCCTTGGATTTTTGTCTCGTAGGCTCCTGAGAGTACTCAGAGATCCCAACACCCCTTAACGAAGGAATTCCTAGGGTGCCTTTAAAGGGATCCTTATATAAGTCCTTCAAAGGGATCCTCTAAAAGATCTATAGGGTTTAGGGTTTAGGGAACTCTAATAATACCCCTTAACTAAGGAATATACCTCAAACTATAGGGGCCTTAATATTGTGGTTTAGGGTATATTCCTTAATAAATTAAGGGGTATTGGGATCTCTGGGTAGCCCCTTCATAATCAAGGTGCCCTTTTTCCCACAGTTGGGTTCGAATAAGGGAGCCCAAAAATCAAGAAGGGCAAAATCAAAAGGGCACTACTGGGGAACCCAGTCTCCTATAAAGAATAGCTCATGTAGGCCTATGATCAAAAACCCTGCGTGTAGAAGGGACGCTTGATGATATAACTCCTGCACTACCTTAAGGACCCTAAACTATGGGAATTATGGTATATTCCTTATTATGGGTCATGCAGGATTATATCATCAACCGGAGCACACTGGAGATCTTGGTGTTACGGCCCTTGAACACCAGGGGTGTTATTGACCAGGAGTCTACGTTGAGCAACACATGTTTTTGTTGGGGAGAACCCAATAAAAGAAACAACAACCCAAGAGACATACGTATCGCCTGAAGAACATGTCCACGAGCACATCTATTAAGCTATAATTTCACCCAGCCGACACGAATACACGATTATGTTGACCTCAAAAGTACCCAGTCAGCATCCGTTTAAGGAGCCCTGTAAAGGAAGCCGAACCAAGCCTGGCACACTTCAACTCTTCAGCCATCCAAGACCTCATCCCCGAACCACAAATGGACAGAAACCGGTTTAACCGTCCACTGACACGTTAAGTAGCTGTTCAGGCCCTACACCTCTGCTCTGTGAACCCTGATGATGCCCCGTCAAACTGGAACTCCCCTGACCCTGCTTTGAGCAGCCCGTACATGCTTGGAGGATCAGGGGACTTAGTAAGTAAGGTTATAGGTACCCTAATTGGTGTTATAAGTAATTATAACTTAGTTACCCTATTTGTAAACTCCAATTACTAAGTCCCAGGATCCTCTAAGTGCCCACCATGATAGGGCCCCAACAGGAGCGGCAGGAGGCCAAGTGGGATAGGGCCAGGCGAAAGGCGGAGGGCCTTGCACGGTTTAGGGTTTAGGGGTTTAGGGTTGAGGGGTTTAGGGTTTAAGGATTTCGGGTTTAGGGTTAGGGGTGTAGGGTTTAGGGTTTTAGGGTTTAGGGGTTTAGGGGTTAGGGTTTAGGGACTTCATCTAGAAACTGCACGGGCTACTGTGAGGGTTAGTGTGAAATTGCAGGAAAGGTTGCTATAAGGGGTTCTATCAAGGCTTGAACTACTTCACCGAAGCACTCCTGTAGTCTGTAGAATCCAGGTTTTGGGGGCTTCATACATCAGCACCTCAAAACTTTACACCGTTTCAAATTGTTCTGAAGGCCTTCTTGGGTGCAAATTCACATTCAGGGCTCAAGGCCCCATCATTGCTATAAGCGCCTTTGACCCAAAACAAAAGTAGTCAGGTTCAATAACCCCTTGCATATATATGTATATATATATATATAGATATATCTTGCTTTCTTTCTTTCTTTCCTTCTATATGCTGCCAGTAAAAACGAAACATGGCTCCTACCACCAGCAGCCGGTTTTCGGCTTTTTCTGACAGAGGAGTCCTCGGCTCAAAATCCCCAAAGCAGGTAGGTTCTGAACGAGAGACATATGCACCCTAAATGCAGGGTTGCTTAAGCACGCAAGGAACCCTAAAAGGGCTTAAGGCTCATATACCGTAAAGGGATTCACAGTATATGGGTAGTGGCCCCTGCTCTTAAGCGTCCTTCAGATCGTACGGAGTGTGCTGCGCTAGCCTTCAGTTAAAGCTCAGGGTACATGGCAAGACCGAAATTATCTCTGCACGGGCGTAGGGCTCGTCTGTCCATGTGCTTCTCATGTGTGCTCCACAAACTGAAAACCGTGAACGCAGTGAACCCTGAACCCCCGTAGTTTAAAACCTTAAACATTGATCTCCAAGCCCCGAACCCCAAACCCTCAACCCTAAGACGCCAACGCCAAACCCTAAACCTGGACCTTAAACTCGGAACCCTGCAACCTATGTTCGGAACTCTAAGCCCATGGGCCCATGGTGGTCTCTTTGCTACCCGCGCTGATTCCGAAATCCCATCATTATAAACTCGAAAGCCGGGCAGTGAGTTTCTTCACGAGATAGCAGCGTTTTTGACATGATAGACGTTGCAGTGCCCAAGCTACAAAGTTGCGACAGACAACTCCCCAAACATGCTTGAAGCTTACAAGCTGAGAAAGTCAAGCTCCCTTTCGGGCGCTTTTTCGGATGATTGGCTTCAAAGATTTCCCGAAAAGCTCCCTGAAACATCCGAAGCCTAAACCTCAGCTCCACACCCCTAAATCCTGAACGAAATGCGGTAGACATTCAGACTGTGACGTAAGGGATGTGAACCAAAAGCTTCCAATCCCGAGCCCTAAACCCATGAGCCCTAAGCCCTAGCTTGGAAGGTCATGGGACTTACTAAGCATGGTTATAAGTACCTTAACTGGGGGGTATAAGTAGTTATAGGTACAGTTACCGTAGTAATAACCTTAGCTACTAAGTCCCATGATCCTTCAAGTAGCTTGGTGAGCCAAGGCGCTCAAGAGAGGCGGCAGCGGGGGCAAATCTGGTGCGACCTAAGCTTGTGTCCGGAAGCTTCGGCTAGGCATTGAGAAAAGGAGCTCAACAGAGTAATCTACAAGTTAACAGCAACAATAACAGAACCTAAACCCTGAATAATCACCACGATGAAACTCACAATGCTTTAGACCTGCGGTTTACTGCGATTTAAGACCGAGGCGATTATATGCCGGAGCTGTATAGCGAATGTTGTAGACAGCCCGCGGGAGGCACTGCTTGTCGTGGGGCTCGGATAATTCAGGGGCGCTGATAATTAGAATAGAGGTTGGGGTCATTATAGTATAGCTGCGATAATGCACCCTACGGCGTAACATGGATCACTGCTCAGGACAAGTTGGAGCGCCTTGAGACATGCGACAATAAACCCGCAAGCCCTAAATCCAGCAACATCTAGCCATAAGTTTCACATTTTCTGAAGTTGATGAGACCCTCCTCGGTATTAGGGCTACCAAAAACCCTAAACCCTAATCCTGAAGGTGGAACCTACGACGGATCGGCGGTGTTGTTGGAAGGCCTGAGGACGCTGTGATGTACGCTATAGGGGCCTTAGTAAGTAGACTAGGGTTCCTGTAGGAGGTTCCTCTTAAAGGTGCTTTTGGGAGGGTATTATGGGGTTTAGGGGCCACAATAGTTAGAACAGGGTTTGGGGGTATGTTACACTATCGATATTAGAAGGAGCCGCCCAAAACAGGAGTCGTAATCATTTAGGCCTCTACAGTACTGGGTGTTGCGTCTTGCTCCACCGTATTCAATACCCACGGCAACCTCAGAAGCTGATCACACGGCGTGAGATTACAGTAGAAGCCCAAAAGTTGGAAACCCAATAGCTTCAATCCTTAAGAGTAGTCTACAGGGAATCCCAGCACTATTTGCTTACCTTTGGTTAGTAGGGCATGGAAGAATGGTAGTAACAGTAGTTATAATTGTACTCCATTCCTCCAAGTCCCACTAACCAAAGGTAAGCTTGGCCTTAATCCGGTTTCCAACTGTATGGGTTTTACTGTATGTGCCGTAAGCCTGAAGCCTAAGCCCGGTACCCCAGGGGTCCATCTACCTGCAGAGGATAGACTTTGACCCTTGTATGTACTGAGCGACATACGTTTACCTCGAAGATAATACTGAAATAATTATGGAAAGCCGGGAAGCCCATAGTCTGCACTCCATCCGCACAAGGACCCTAGATGCTAAGCTGCAATCTCGAACCCTTGTCGTAGCCCTCTAGAACCCTTAAGGAGACACCCATAAGAGCCGATACCCCATATATATATATATATATATATATATATATGTATGTGTATATATATATACCTTTATAGATATAGATATAGATACAGATATAAATATAGATATAGATATATATATATATATATATACCCTGAAACCCCAAAGCCTAAACCCAAACTGAGGTCGACCACCCACTGTCCAGGCGCGGCCTCCGGCGACCTGGAAACATGCAGGACTCGGGGCTTCAAAGGGATCTTAGGTTCAGGGTTTTACAGGCTTAAGGGTCTGAGGGCTTCAGGTTCTAAGGGTCTGATTGTGTAAGGCTTTTTTGGGGCGTAGGGCGCCATCCAGGCTGAGCCAAGAAAAACCGAAAACACTTCACAAACCCGGAACCCTAAGCCCTGCAGGTTTATTGCTGGCACACACCCTACAATTATTTTTCCTCAGTGCGAGATGAGTAGACGTGTATTGCAATCCGTCTCCACCCTAATCCCAAAACCTCAATCAGAAGCTCCCAACTACTGGGGTACCTGCCAAAGTCATATCAATATATACACGCATATACATGTAATTAGGTACGTATACACTTATGCACCATTATCCAGACACCGCCAGCCTTCAACCACGGAATAGTCAAGCCGCCGGTAACCACCGAAAAGCCACAACACCAAGAGCGTGAACTTCACTAATTACCCCTAGTCCTCTATGCGTAGGTTTGGGGTCATGGGTTTAGATAGGTGGATCCCTCTTCAGAAGGAACAACAACGAAGACCTCCCTGAGGCATCCTAATATTTCAGGTATATGCGTCATTTTGGCACTAACACTGTGGCTTAACATCTCCTCACAATGGTCACACCAGGTGCTTAACCCAATGATTGTTTATGGCCCAAACCCTATTCCGGCGCACTGAGCTGTCTGCTCGGGGACAGGCGAAGTCTTCGGTGTCGCGGGCAACTTCGCCAGGGTGCAAGGTCGAGGGAGAGTTAGGCTAGGTTTGAGGGTATTCAACGGTTTGCATCAGATGCTATAAGACTGCTGCAGGGGCCTGAATGCTCACTAATGAAAGTTCCGAGGCTCCGCCAGTATGGTTATGCCTCTAGTCTCCACTGTAGTTCGTTTTAGGGGTGACGTTACAGGAGCCTAGCTATAAGATTTGATAAACCACAAAAACACTGTAACGGAGACTATAGGTAAGCTGTCATTACAAAGGCGGAGCTTGGCTCAACCCTGTTTGGACCGTTTGGCTGCCGATGCGTCGGCCTTGATATGCGGCCACTAGAGTTCCAGCTGCTAAGATCCCATGCTTTGGGGCAAGCTTCTTGGGAATTCCGACACACTGGATCTTTCGTCGCAAGCCACCAGAAAATCCCAACCACAGGGCAGTTTCTCAGCAAGTGAGTTAGGAATTCGACCTTGCAGCAGGATGCAACCTGTGTGCCACATGCCATCTGCTTCCCCTTCCTCATTCAAGGTTGGCCATTACTCCAAGCCCTAAACCCCAAAGCATCCTAAACTCCAAACCCTGAACCCTACACATATCTTACGTGGAGATTCTCAGTCCGGGAAGATCCCGCGAAAGCATAGCAACTCGCAAAGCACCTACACCATCGGACTTAAACCTGCTGCGCTAAACACTTGGAAAGAACTTACTATTCAGGAACATGCCTCAACAAGAGCCCCCCGAGCTCTGAAATCTGAAACCCCTAATTAACCCTGAATGTGGCTCGAAACTGACGGGATAGATGGGAACACAACAGGCCCGACATCCAGCAACCTCAATCACCCACGTCCTAGATGAGCCTGGAACAATCGCTCCACGCCTTTATTTTCACACGACCCAAGACGCTTAAAACCATCCATCCCAGATCCCAGACCGTATGATGCTTACCTTTTGTTAGTAGGGAATGGAGGAATGGGGTACAATTATAACTACTATTACTACCATTCTTCCATTCCCTACTAACCAAAGGTAAGGATGGAGAAGCATCATGCAGACCAACCGCCTCAAACCCGAAAACCCCAAAGCAACAGAGAAATACACAGCTCTGCCTCGTTGTCGCTCCCCACTGCAACCAAGGCAGTTGCGGCTGCCACGATCTGGTCACCATTGTCTGGTTCTACAGGCTGGGTACTGCCCCCACTCAGTTATAGTTGAAAAATCTTCATAGTATACATGATATAGTAGGACCTTACTAGTAGCCCTAGTATAGACTCTTACTGTATGGGGGGCAGTACCTATTCTACAGGGCTTTTTTGATGGGATGTAAGGGCTCAGTTCAGGAGCTTTCAAGGGCACAGCAGCTCCTTCGTACGGGTACCGTCTCCATTGTTCGGTGTTAGAGCAAGGGAACATCAAAATACCAGTGTTCAGGGGCGCTGCTTGGAATCCTACAGAAGCGTCGATGGATCCTTATTTCCCTACCGTGAAGTATCTTCAAGACACCAAAAGAAGAGCATATATGGCTTACGACGGGCCAGTCTGGAAGATCTCAAACAAATGCTAGCAGATACCCCCTACGGAATCCAACTTGAACGGTAGGGGTGCTTAAGACGTTGTGACTCTATGTGGAGTTACCCCTAAACTCGACTATGGTAGCCCTTATGACGCTTAGAACCCTAAACCCCTCATACCCGTAAAGTAACCCTTGCAGCACTTAAACTCCCAAACCCCGCGTACTCGTACGCGAATCCTTGAAACCCTCAACCCCCTCAAGGCCGAAGACAGTTGTAGTAACCCCTTGTAGTAACCCATATGACCCTGAAAGCCTTTAACCCCTAAGACCTTCTACTAGACCCGAGAGTAACCTAGGAATAAAAAGTGTGCCCTTTTTGGCTTAAAAGGGGCTTAGGAGGGACCTGAACCTTAAATAAGGGAATAACGGCCTACTCTGGGTCCTGGTCTAGCAACCCTTACAGTAGCCAAAACCCGCGAGGTCCCAGATCTCGCCTTGTCTTTGGCCTTCCGTCTCGCTCGTTCCAGGAGCCCAGCCAAGAATCCCTGGAGTCTGCGATCGTACTTTCCGGGCTGTAATAGTTTCCACAAGGCTTCCTTAATGGTCACCTCTAAATCATCGACATATAGAGGTAATGTAAGGGATGGTAAGAAGGGATGCATAAAACACACACATTGTTTACAGGGTTCCCTGAAGGGCTCCTCTAAAATCCCAAATAATAAAAAAGCATCACTAGACCAACTCTTGTCTCCTGAAAACACCTTGGCCGATCCGCAAGCACTGCTGGCGTCATCGGGATTGCGCCTCTCCGGCAACTAACCCTAAGGGTTCATGTACTCATATAGTATATACATTGGCCCTAATGTAGTCGTTATATAGGTACAGTGGGGCCCATGTATCTCTATATGGGTACATGGACCCTTAGGGTAAGATTGTTGCTGGTACTCCTGGCTAAACCGCAAAACCAGAGTTCAAGGCATGGGGGCTGAGTACCCTAGCCCAGACAAGGTAAATCTTATGAAACATGGTAATACAAGATAAAGCGAGAAAGCCTAAACCTTAAACCCCAAGAAAGGCTAAACAGCCCTTAAAAGCACAAGGCCGAAAAACTAAACCCAGAAAGGAAGCTTCGGAATGAGTACTGGATGATTCCCTCTCTGGTGGATTGGTGGTGGCCACCCAAACATGCAGGCCTTGTTGAGATTGGAGCTTGAGATGTTTATTGAATGCAGGGTCCGCAGTGTTTCGCATAGAGCTTCGGGAGATACACGAGTATGACTATATAGATCTACTCGAACTACTCATAACCCTATCTCCAAAACCAAACCCCTTCTAAACCTCAGACCCTAACCCGCTAAACCCCCAAAGCCCTAAACCCCATAAGTCTTAACCGGGTTCTTGTTAAGGAATTTAATTTAAGTTGCCAAAATAAGGAAGCCATATTTTCTTACTATAGATCCCCATTTCGGTAACTTAAATTATGTTCATAAAAAACAAGAATCCAGAGAAGTCCTAATCTCCGGAGCTTCGCTGAAAGGCCACGCAGAGGCTGCCGCCTTCTTCGAGTTGAGGGGCGCCGCCTGGGGTTTAGGGTTTAGGGGTTTTGGGTTTGGGGTTTCGGGGTTTAGGTTTTGGGGGTTAGGGGTTAAGGTTCTAGGGATTAGGGCTTAAGGGTTTAGGTCTTAAGATCTCAATGGGTTTCATCAGCATGGTGTTTTTGTAAAGGGTGTTCAAAACTGTGTCATTTCATAAGCGCCAGGAGCGCTTTTTGTAGAGGCGGCGTCGGGCTTTCTAGCACAATCCATACATACTACCGTTATGGAACTGGGTCCCACAAGGCTATCCTTGTTCTGGCCTTAGGACCGTAATTCCAAGATCAGTGTAGTTCTCCAATTAGGGTCCCTTTCCGGGTCCTTTTTATAAGGGTGCCGTACTATTTTGGGGTCCCAGGGGACTCTCATGCAGAGAACTAACCATATAGACCCCTTGGTAGTGCTTCATTGTGATTTGCAGGGCAGTAGCCTTGCAGATCTTGCAGCCGTACAGGGTCCGAGGGACCGACGTCGTAGAAAGTAGAGCTTTGGGTTTGGGGTTTACGGCTTCTAGAGTAGAAATTTCTACCGGGTTCTGTTGGGATACTGGGACGTAGGGTTTCTGTGGTGGACATTTCTATTGGGTATGCATCCCCTGTGTGGTACCTTGGAATTTTTTGAGTTCGAAGAAACCTTCCAACTTCCGTAGCACGAAAACAAGCAAAGTCTCTCTTTGTTCTCTCAATTAGGGCTTTAGCATTTTAGGGTTTAGGGCTTGGATTGATCAAGAACCGAGGAACTTGATGGTCAAACTATCCGGAATTTCAACAACTCAAAAACTTGCATCTTGCATCGTTGGGAGTCAGTGATCGGAGAACTATCACCAACACAAACCTAACAAAACCGTGGATAAAGCCTTCTGCCCACGCGCTCTGAACCCCTTAGCTACTCCCAGCTCGGCACCTGTTCAGCATCGCCACGCTCTGCGGGCCCGCCTGAGTCAGGTTCCGAGTTGTGGGCTTGAAAGTTTTGGTTTTGGGACACCCTAAACCGTAAACAATAAATCCTAAGCTCTAAACCCTAACGCAGACTTCAAGGTTGCAAGGCTTTACAAGGGTTAGGGTGTCACGCGTTGAACAGCTTGGCCAGTAGCAATTAACGTTAATTAACCTGAACCCAGAAACGCCCATCCATACCTTACATTGGACGAGAACAGATATTGTCCGTTTGAGGTTGTTAGACGGAAAAAGAGGGAGTTTATCAATCTGGGGTCATTCTGACATTACATAACAGGAGCAACGTTGGGTGTCGCCCACTTTTGTGCACCTCATCAAGCCAGGTCTGATCTTGGATGTAAATCACAGTTATCATATTTGGTCTGTAGAGCTTGCAAGAGCAAAACGAATACAATCTTTTTCGCATGGAACTACCAAAACTTGTTGAGGACAGAATATGTGTGTATATATATATACACATAGTTATCATTATCATTGCGAATCCCTCTGATATTGAAGTTGCATTCCCTGCTTCACTGCTTCACGGATCTTGGTCAGAGATGCCGCCTTCCTAAACCCTAAACGTTTCCTATGTGGTGCCTGGAGTAATCCTCAGGACCCAAGAACTCGAACCGTATCTTAATTGGGGTTAATAGTACTTCTGAGCATAGTTACAACCTCATATATCTATCCAAAGGTAGAAGGAGGGACCCTTAATAAGGACCCCTAGGTATGTACCTTTACTATGGCTATTATATACCCATTATAAAGCCCATTATAGGGTAGGGGTCCCCATTAAAGGTCCCTCCTTTTCCCCTTTGAATCCATATCACACATCATCCTTTAGGTCTTTTGGCAATCATGTAACAGCTATCGTACACCGTTCGTGGGGCATGTATCATATGTCCTATATTATATATATATATATATATATATATATATATATATATATATATATGCATAATCTCGTCTAGGGCATATCCGATACCTTAGTCCTACAGCCTAGATCACATATAGGTTTCCATGGGCTGCAGATATGTATTAGTTTTTGTGCCATATGTCGCATGCATGCATGCATGCATGCATGCATGCATGCATGCATGTGCTCGTGTGCATGCATGCATGTGCTCGTGTGCATGTGCGCGCGCGTATATATATATATATATATATATATATATATATATATTCATATATATATACACATATATTGATGGACACACACACACACACACATCAACTTTCTTTGTCGTTCATTTTTGTTGATGGCCTACTGGGATTCCTAGGCTCGGTAAATCTCGAAAAACCAAAACCCCAGATACGCCCACACATCCCTTGCCACCTGAACACCCAGGGCCCGTCTGTTATCATAGTAAGAATACCACAAAAACCCATCGTATTTACGAAGGCGCCTAAACTAAATCCCAAAAACACAGTAAACAAAGGCTGCTGAAGGAACCCTTATAGACCACGTTTCAGAAACGCTTTTTCGGGGTACAATTTCAATAGCCCATACAGAACTTACTCTATGTTTAAGCGAACCCTGTAACCCCTTTGGATCCCTTTTAATGGAACGCTATAACCCCTAGAGATCCGTCTTGTTAAAACACCCTATAACCAATACAGATCCCTTTCCAAGGAACCTTGTATGCCTGAATACATCCCTTTTTTAGGAACCCCCTCTCTGTCTCTTCAGGGCCAGGTCTGGCGCTCTTCGGGTCTGGATCAGTCGTTGAGCTCTCCTGCACAAGGGGATGCAGGCATTTAGGGTTTAGGAGGGTTTAGGGTTTGAAGCTTAAGGTTTAAGGCTTAAGCTTTAGGAGGGTTTAGGGTTTAGAAGGGTTTAGGGTTTAAGGTTTAGGGGCGGCTTCGGTGACTAGACTTGGGTTCGGTGGTCGGTTTTAGTATGCATTTAATGAGGAGACATAGGGGCGTCATGATTCAGGCTTCCATTATGCCTACTCCTTGCGTCTAGTTGTTTCAGAGGTCCACTCAAAGGTTCTAAAAGGGTTCTCTCCGGGTTCTTAGGCTTTAAGATTTTCCTTACTTGGAGGGTTGGGAGGAACTGGGAAGGTAATTACTAAACAAGCTTGCAATCACCCGTCATGGGACCCTAATTTGAGTTCCTAAACCATAAACCCATACGCCTTACTTTGGGTTCGAAATCACCGAGCCTTCAAGCAAGGCGTCAGGATTCATAACCCAAAGGGTCCAAGTATCATTATGGTATACACTTATAGGGCATTTGGGGGGATCTAACTATATATACCATACTGATACTTTAACCCTTTGGGTAAGGTCGCATCTAGCTTGTACGGATTGAAAGGCCTCGAGTTTCTGGACTGGCGGGCTAGAAATCATTCTCTTCAAGAGGGTTTAGGGTAAAAGATGCCAAACGGGTTGAGGGTTTAGGGACCCACCGATCCTGATTCACGGCAGTTTGGTGCGTTTCAACTTGAGGTTCAACGCAGTAGGTTTCGTCAGGGGTTTGAAGTTGTTGGCTCAAGGAAACAAGGGTTGGAGGGCTTGGGGACTTGCGTTTCGACTTGCCGCTAGCGCTTTGGGGTGTGGGCTTCAGGCCTTGGCGGGCCTTAACAATTAGAAGAGGGTTGCGGGGCCCACTATGCTATAAATTGCAATAAGGAGCGACCACAATGGTGTAGGCAACTATTGAGGCCCCTATAGTAGACTTTCTCGTCCTACTTGAAGGCTCGGGAGACTGGGTGGGAGAGCTTTTTCCCAAAAAACTCAAGACCCCACAACCTGAAACCCTAAGCGCATCTCTTCCACTGCGCCCAGCAACCGGACGGGCGGCATTCCGGCCTCTGGAATCCCCAAGACGACCCTCTGAAAATATAAATATATATATATATATATATATATTATATATATAACTACCTACCAAAATGAAAGAGCGAGAGCCTAATAACACCACTACACCTTCAAACCTCAAACCACTACACCCTCAACCCGAAGAGAAAGCCTGTGACACCGGCCGCTTTCCGGGCGATTTTTGGGCTGCACCTGATTGGGGCCATGAAGCTCTGGATTTTAGGCCTTTTGAGGCCTGGGGCCCAGGCCCCTTGAATGAACGCTTAAAGGCTAATTAACACTCCCCACCAAAAACAGGCCCATCCTATGCCATAAATGAATTGGAATCAGGAAATGTCGCAGTAGGAGTAATAATGAGAATAATACTAGTAGGATTCCTTTTTTGGCGATCTGTTTTTTTGGATCTTTGAGGAGACTGCAGGCTGCTTGTAACACGAGAGTTTCGTCGTCTTCTTGCTAAGGAGTTGGGGTTGGTGGATGAGAAGATGAGTTAGGCTGCTTGTTGGCTCGAGCTTCGGGGGTGAGGGGAGTGGGACTGCGGTGGCTGGGGAGATGAGTTTCAAGGCAATGCAGGCATCGAGAGGGGGTTAAGCTGCAGCGAAGCGGGAATACCTGAGGGCCTATAGGTAAACATAGAGTTTCCGACATCGAGCTTCACATGTGGCGCCTCCACCCGTCGAGTTGGGTCTCGGGTTGGGTAGCCCCAAGAAGACAAGAGCCCCAGAAGCCACTCAACCAAAAGCGATGGAGCCTGAGTAAGGACTGTGGCGTATCGTTGTGGGTCGTGTTGAGATGTTGCTCTTAGGTTTAACTACATAAGTCTCGGTAGTTGTAAGCCATAAACCCCTAGACCCCGTGCAGGTGGCTGGTGTAAGCTGGGAAATGCGTGAATTTCAAATAAACCCCGCAAATCGGACCTTGTCCGTTAGAACAAGGTGTAAGGGTGTAATCTGGTATGATGATACGGAACCATCAGGAATAGTATTGTTGCTAACTATTCAGGCTCATGTAACGGTCCAGTAGCCCAGCTTAGCAGGCCTCGAATGACTGTCCGTTTGATATCTCTTCGTATACCTTCCAAGAAATACCGTTCCCCACCCTTCAATAACAGGGTTAACCACCGAAATGACTGCGTGAAAACCGCACCTGCTAAGCGGTCCGGCTCCGGTCCCTATGACCTAAGCCACTTCACTACTTGCCTAGAACCCTTGAACACTCAATCATACAACCCTAAAAGCTGTAGGCCCCAAAGCCTTGTAATCATCCCAAAATCCCGAAACCTCCTTGCCACAGCAGCCCGGCCTAGTGCTAGGTCTTCAACTGGCTCGGCTGTGGTCGCCTGGGAGAGAGATAGAGAGGGAGGAAAGAGAGAGAGAGAGAGAGAGAGAGAGAGAGGGAGTAATATGCTACTGAGCATCCGACCCTCAAGTGCCTAAACCACATTCACAAACTATCTGGAAGCAGTGGGGCGACTTAGTACCACTGTGCAACAAGCACCATAAGCTACCTTGCTATTTCGAAAGGGTCTCCATGTCATAATGTAGCAGTGATTAGCCCCTAAACCCTAAACCCTAAACCCTACACCCTAAACCCTAAACCCTAAACCCTAAACCCTACACCCTAAACCCTAAACCCTAAACCCTAAACCCTAAACCCTAAACCCTAAACCGACTCTAGACCCCAGGCCTGGCCTGAACGAACTCGAACAAGTCTTAAAATCGCTCGAAAGTGCGCAACCCCAAACCCTAAATACCAAACCACGAAAGCCCGTGACAACATCCTATGAAACGCTGCGTGCTTACTTACCTCTTCTCAACCCTTACGATTACAAACCGAAGTACAACCTCGAAGGCAAATAGACATCCTGATACACGCCTTGCTTGCAATGAGCATCAAGAAGTCTTAACTTTAAGCTCATAGAAACCCCTAGAAACACGACAACATGCTTCAACACATCTCACAAGACAAAAGGCCATAAGACATCCAGAAATACAGCAGAGAAGTTCCACATAGAACCCTGGGACATAAAGCCCCAGGAAAAAACACAACTCCCACACCCTCTACAACCACCCTACACCGCCTCGACTATGCGACCGGACATGAATCCCAAATGGAACGCCCTATCATGCACTACAAGACACAAACCCAAACTCTATAACAGCGATGTCATCCTTAAGCCGACCAAGACCCTACAAACCCTGCGGCCCTGAACCCAGGGGCGCCGGCCCAGCCGTGTATATACCCCATATCTCGATTCTGTTTATCATGAGGTTTTGGAAATGGCACTCACATATCTAAGCAAACCCACACACCCCAAGCCTCACGAAAACCCTAAACTGACCTGTCGCAAAACCAACCGTAAAATCCTACAGAAGCCCTGAGACCCTGAACCCTACAAAAGCCCTGAGACCCTAAGACCCTAGAAGCCCTCCCTGAGACCCTAAGACCCTAGAAGCCCTCAACCCCCACAAAAAAGGCCCTAAGTCCCTGAGACCCTAAACCCCACAACACGCCCCCCAACCTAGCGGTCCATCGATTATTCTGGCGGAATTGGGTCCCAAAATCCATCATGGAAATGATCTTTTGGGACCCAATTCCATAGTGGTGGAAAAAGGACCCTCTGGCCTGATCCCAAGCCCTAAACCCTAAACCACTCCTAAACCCTAAGGACCCTCTGGATAACCCTGAAGCCCTAAACCGGAGGCATGTTGGGAGACATTCATCATCGACACGCCTTCCATGGATCACACGATTGGAACACAGCCGCAGCTGAGCACTCTTGGATGCCGTGTGCGAGCTCTGTATGCACGAGCACCACTCACCCCACGTTGGTGAAGCGCCACGTCACACCTCAAGTGATGCCAACGCACCCAGCTCTATAGGACCTGCAGTCAGGTCTCTCCATGCAGGGTTCTGAGGTGAAGAATTAATTGTGGAGCCAAGAGCACGTATTGGTGAACCTGAGAACATTCCGTCCTTTGTTGACAGCACTCTCAACCATTCCGTATATCCAAATCCCAAGAAGGACTTGGATTCGGCCCCTTCAAGTCCCACCCAGTGTGTGGTCCTTTGAGCAGCACGGCGGTCAACCAAGGCGAGCCAATCAGTGCATTTATCAAGTCTCTGACGTCGTCTCCAAACTTGCGCGAGAAGGACTTCCCAGCAAACATCTGCTGGCTCTTGGTACCAATCGGATTTTGAACCTTCTCTGGAACCTGTGTGCCAGCCAGTCTGCTAGACTTCCTGCGACCACCTGGTCATAGCAGATTGAAGACCAAGAGTTGTTTTCTGTGGTCATGCGTACGCCAGAATCTAACCCACTCAGCTCTCAGCTGTACTGTCAGGACCCATTAAGCCTACAACCCCAAAGCCCTAAACCCTATACAACCCCAAAACCCTGAAGCAGCAAAACCCTGAAAACCCTAAAACCCAAAACCCTACAAACTGCAAGTCCTAAAAACCTACCACCCTAAAACCCTACAACCCCAAAACCCAAAATTTCAAGCCCCGAAGACCCTGAAACCCAAAACCCTACAACTCCCAAACCCTACACACCTACAGCCCTAAAACCGCAAAGCCCGAACTTCAACACCCTAAAACCCTGAAACCCCAAACCCCAAAATCCTAAAACCCTAAACCGTAAAACAGCCTATTAACCCTCAAACCCTAAACCCTAAAACAACAAACTGTAAACCCTAAAACCCAAAAAGATACCCTATCAAAACACAAACCTATAAACCCTAAACCCCTCAACCCTAACCCTCAACCCCAAACCCTCAAACCTAAACCCCAAACCCTCAACCCTAAACCCTCAACCCCTCAACCCCTGTAGCCGAGGAGCGCAGGTCCAGCCGAGGCCTCCGTCGGAGCCCGGGGAGTCGGATCGCGAGGCTTCGCTGGCGGCCCTGGAGACTTTGGGATTCCTTTAAAACTGGATCCTTAAAGGTTTCTATGGGAGGTAGGAGTAGGGGGACCCTTGGGGATATAGACCCTCTCAATAAGGCCCCTTTTAAGAGAGCCAGAAGTAGGGTTCAGAAGGGGTACCCTGTAAGGGGTCTCCCTAATAATACTACCTATTCTATTCTTATAAGGGATCCTTTGGGTTCCTTTAAGGGACCCTTGATAACTATAAGAAACCTTTGAAGGATCCCTTAAAAGGAACCTTTTAAAGGATCCCGTATAAGAAACCTGTAAAGGATCCCTTAAAGGTTCGTGTTAAGGGATCCTTTAAAGGTTCCCTTTAAGGGATTCTTTAAAGGTTCCTTTTAATTAAGGGATCCTGAAAGGTTTCTATTCTTATAAGGGATCCTTTGGGCTCCTTTTAGGGGAAATCGTGGGTTCCTTTTACGGGATCCTTTGGATTCCTTTTAAGGGATCCTTTGGGTTCCTTTTCAGGGAAATCTGGGTTCCGTTCGAACCGTTAGTTTTAAGGGATCCTTTACAAGAGTTTCTTATAATAGAGCCTTCGAAAGTTTCATACAAGGGTTTAGAGGTTTAGGGCTTCCTGGTTGGGGTTTAGGGGTTTAGGGTTTGGGTTTAGGTTATGGATCCTTTAAAGGTTTCTTGTAAGGGTTCAGGTTCCCTTTCAGGTGTCCTTTAAACGATTTTCTAAAAACAGATCTGCGGGGTTTGGAGTTTGCGGTTCAGGTTTAGATTTTGGGTCTACGTTGGGTGTGGGGTTCCTTTAGGGGCTCCTCCGCTCGAGGTACTGTAAGGGGTCGTTGCGGCTCTGAGGGGAGGGGCTGTGAGCAATAGCCCTCTGGAGATGTTATGAAGCTTTAGTTCTGCTCTACAGAGGGCTCCATCTTGGACAGGTTTCAGCAGGGTTGCTCAAGGATGTTGTCACGTGTTTTACAACTTCCTCTCCTGTGAACGATGTCCTGCGGCTTCGAGGAAGCCTCTGTGATTTTCTTGCCCTTTTCCGCCAAGGCTTGAACCAGACCTATAGTACTCCTTCTTCTTCTTCTACTAGTACTACTCCTTCTTCTTCTACTACTACTACTCCTGCTACTACTACTACTACCACTACTACTGTAACTACTACTGTAACTACTACTGTAACTACTACTGTAACTACTACTGTAACTACTACAGTAACTACTACTGTAACTACTACTGCAACTACTACTACTACTACTACTACTACTACTACTACTGCTACTACTACTTCCTCCTGCTTGTCGTGCTGCTCCCATTCCTGCTGCCGCTGCTCTCCTACTACTGCTGGTTCAAGTTTAGGGTTCCCGCGCAAATTTGATTTTCAGTAGGTACGATGTGTAAGACTCACCAGCCCATTTGCGTGCTATACATATGCCTACTGATAGGTAGTGGGCAGGCTGTAGATTTCTAGATGTACAGCTCCAAATCGGACTACCAGTTCCCTAGAATCCGTAGAAGCCGTATCGTCGTAAACACCAAGCCCTAAACCTTGCAGTGGCCCTTACTACGTATGACTTTAAGGTAGCCGCTAATCCCCACCATGCTGGCTCAGTCGATTTTTCTATCGCCTGTCCCCGGACCATCCCAACAACCTGGAACCTCTTGAAGCCTAAAAGCCATCAACGCCTGTCCTCGGTTCAGCAGACTCTGTCGGTGCAACGGAAGCTGGAACTTCCGCGACATCTGCAGAGCCTGCACGGCAGCTCTAGCAGGTCCCGGGTCTACCTGACGATCCAAAATCCTGCTGTCTTAGGGGTTCTACCTTATACTGGAGTTGTAACCTACCATTGTGTAGGGTTTGGCGCTACAGGTATGGTCTACGGTTCAGGGTTTGGGGGTTTAGGGGGGATGGACCGAGCCCGCTGAACATGCAAGGTATGTAGACTCTTGCTATTTGCTCCTACACTGTCATCAACTACTATATTCCTTGTGAATCCTCTTGCTTTGTTTCTCGGGGTTGGGCTCCTTACCTATTGATGCTCCGGGCCGGCTGCTGTTAGTTTGGGTGCTCTGCAGGACGGCAACCCAACAAATCGATACTCCCCCAAACCTCAAAGACCGCAAAATCGTCCGTCCTTGAACCCGCAAATAGAAACCCTAAACCTAACACCCCTAAACCCTTAAACCCAGACACCCTAAATCCGCACTTGCCTCAAACGCACAGCCCCGAACCCAAGATCCAAGCACGCGAAGCTTTGACTTGCACGACTGTGCCACAGTCCCACAGGAGGCACCATCTTTGTTTCTTCATCCGTCTTGTTGGTAGACAGGAAGTTCATGGCTTTGCTGTTGTTTTTTGCGCGGCCACGTTTTACCTTTTATCTTCTATCTCCTGCGCATCCTCGCTGAACACGAAGCTCTGTGGAACCAATCCGAAAGACCAAGCAGTTTTAAACGTTAAACTCCCTCTGAGCCCCCAGGGCCCAGCCTAAGCTCTCGAAACAGCCTTATGTCGAAACCTGCATAATTAGAAAAGGATTAGCTTCTTCTAAAGGCTTAGAGATTTTAAAGGGCTTGCTAAATGTAAGTTTTTTCTCATATCTGGCATAGGGATTTATGACGTCTGATAAGGGTTTACAAGAACTTAAGGACGCTTGCATTGAAAACCCAGGCCTACTTCTTCGCCGCGCTTCTTGCGTTCCTGGGCCGCACTTCCACAACAAGAACTGACCCAGCAACCGCCAAAGCATCCACGCCGGGAGCTCTCGCAAGGAAGTTTATGTTACTCCAGGGTTTAGGGTTTTAGGTTTGAGGGCTTGAGGGTTTGAGGTTTTAGGGTGTTGGGGTTTGGCTCATGGTCTACGTACATCCTTCATAGCGGCCGCGCCGACGCGCCGTCGGTGCCTCCTAATTATACTTCCTTCCCCACTGCTGTGCATACAGCTCCATGAGGATAGTGCAGACCGGTTGCGAGTGTTGGATACAGGATTCAGGGCAATTATTTTTGAGGTGCAAAGGCTTTTTCTCTCACTCCACCAGCCTGTTTAGGATGGGCTAGGAATTTGGGTTTAGGTTTAGGCTTCTGCTGTGGCAGCAATCCCGAAACCATGAAGCTCCGAAGTTCTGAAAACTGCATGCAGCGAGGCCCCAATGCCGAGGTATATGGTAAAGAGTATGCTTGCCATGTGATAGCAATGTGCAGAACATTTGTCAAGACGAGTCGTGGAGTCTTCAACAGTCTTTGCTTACGGCCGTGACCAAGCGTTCTACCAACGCCAACGACTCAAGCCAACGGTTAGTGCCCCCAGGTCAATCACAAACCTAGACCAAACTTCAGAAGTTCTACAATGGTCAAAAAAGCATCTCTTCACCACAAAACCAAGACATTCAATTTTCTTCACAACTCCTGCAAGCCAAAGTTTCTTCGAATCCGGCGGGAGGGAGCCTATACCATGAAGGGCGTTGGATTCACATACTAAGGATCGCCAAACACTCCAGCATGCTGCATGCTTGTCTGAATGCTGAACCCCGAACCCTCATGCGAGACCCCTTGCGCCGAAGCCGCAAGGCCAACTGCCCTAAAACCATGAAACCACACGCTTCACAACAAAACAGACTACGAAGCCTGCAGGGTTTCATGTGTAAAAGCCTTGTACACACCTGTAAGGAGACCCTGTAAGACTCCAGCTCTGCCTCAAAACAAAGATTATGTTTTCTATGGTTCAGTTTTCGAAGGGAACACTTGCAACACAAACGAGAACATGGATACTATTGAGGAAGTAGGAGTCAGATTGCGCTGTACCCTGTGAAGCATTGTACGGCACTACAGGAAGCATATCAATCCCTATAAACGCATGATATGACCCTGTAGCAAAACCCCTACAGCGATCATGCGCAAGCCTACATTACGCTTTAAGAGGTTTAGAGCCCTTTACAACCAAAACAACCCACATCTTGAACAAGGCAAACATCCTCACACCCCGCACACCATAAACCCCAAGGACTCTCATTGCGAAACTCCGCACGAGCCAGGGTACCCAAATGGAGGCCAGTCGTTGGGCACAGGCCACCACGCGGAGGTCTCGTGGGGGGCTTATTTGAAGGATCATGGGACGTAATAACGAGGGTTATAAATAAGGTAACCTTGGCTATCATATTTTTACAGGTTTATAGGTCTAATCAGGGTAAATATAACCCTACTTACTCCGTCTCATGATCCTCCCAATAGGCGTTGCTTTCAGCGTTTACGGCTTTGGGTTTTACAATTCAATTCTCAATTCTTGGGTTTAGGGGTTGGGGTTTCAAGCTTTTGTGGGCACAAGCTTTAACTTTAAGCTTTCGGGATTTAAGATCTAAAGCTTGGGGCTTTTGTTTCGGCGTTTAGGGTTGGACTGGTTGGAGATGCAGGTTGCTCCGGGCTTCTGACGAGGACCGGCTGTAATTAACGGGATCAACAGGATCAACAGACTTCGCAAAAAGGGTATACAAAAAGTGATATTTCGGAGTGAAGTGTCGAGGTTGGTTGGAACAAGACAAATTAGGTTTTCGATGCACTAAACCCCAAACCGGGTCTTCATGTCGATCTTCTGCTTGGTGCAAATGGCTCAGGTGGTAATCTGGGTGCCCTAAGAACCATAAAAAAGGGTTTGGCAGAGAATGTAGCAATTACATTAGGCGCTTCAAGAAAACATTGATTCTGACTCTTCCCATGTCCTGATTATTTCGGACCTATGTCATGTGAGTGTGGGTGTGGGTGAACGTTTAGCCTCAAACGTCGACGAGAAAACTGTTCTTCGGGTTATACGAAGATCTAAGCAAGGGCTCAATAGTCATCAACGGCGGAGAATGTCGTTATATACTCTAGTAGTAGACCTCACAGTATTGCAGTACCCCTACAGAACCCATATCGCGACCCTCACAGAATCCAGGACACGCGTGGTTTCCGTTAATTAAATGTAAGAGCCTGAATAATTCGAAGAGGGCTTGGGGTGTGTTTGAAGTCAGTATAGCAAGACCAGTACTACTAGCTATTCCTGAAACACTGTAGAAGGCCGTGGTATAGCACCCCTGTAGAGGGAACCGTACATTGGGGCTTATGGGGCTCAGGGAATCCTGGGTGGCAGGTTTCCAGACCCTGGACCCGACGGCAAAAAAAAACTGTAACCCTAAACCCTATAGATCTCTTAGAGACGGACTGTTTCACCGATTCCACCAACATGAGTGTGCATGTCTTTCTCTGCGAATCTGTGGCTCCCGTCGCATCGCGTGAGAAGGCCTTCCAGTCCCGCTTGAGGAGTTTGCGGGGGTGGACCAAAACCCAAAACGTCCAAAGAAGGTCGTCCTCCTCATCCACAACTCCTGCGAAAACTCACTCCTGCGGCCGTGGCCAAACTGCAGCAGCCACGGGTGGCGCATTGCATTTGCTGCCGTTGCCCGCTTGCTGGCGGGTTTCAGCAGCTGCTCCAACGGCCACCGTGCTGCAGTGCTGCCCGGGAGCCTGCCGTAGAGCAGGTAGTGCCCCAGGCAACCCGCCGCATACACGTCCACCTTCGCGGTGTATGCACCGTCTCGGGTGCCAGGTAGCCGTCGGTGCCGAAGACACCTGACAGTAGTTCGCCCTCCCGGCACCTGGCAGCCACTTGCCAATTCAGAGTTTCTTGTTTTGGTTTCTAAAAGGCGCGAAGGTTTGGCATTTTCAACGCAAGGTGACCACCCTGTGCGGTGCAAAAACGATCAAATAACGTATGGTCGACGTCAGCAGCCTCCTCGGGAAGCCCGAGCCTCTGCCAGCATTTGCAGATTGGGTCGTCCTGCTGGCCCGGAAAAGCCTGATAGGCATTTGTCTCGGCTAGCGTATCTTGCAGAAAGTGCACCATCGGACGCGCAAGGTACTGTGAGCTCATCGATGTAGCTCCAACAAGCGCTCCTTGAAGCTCTCGCGCGAAGGCTGTGTCATATGGACGGTGATGTCTCTCGGCTGGTCGTGGAGTGCGGCTGCATCGCTCTCCAGCTGCTTGACGACAAAATGAACTGGCAATTGCTGAAATGGCCCCTTCTTGTTGCCTCTGTGAAATAAGATCCTCGTCTTAGGCCCCATAACCGAACATATAAGTGTACCAAGGCTTTTCCTTGCGATGCCAGATTCCTGGAATCTCTACAAAGAAGATCCCCGAATTCGGACCCTATAGTGCTGAAATGCAGGGGTACTTGAAAAGGAACCCCTTACAGGAGCCCTGACAGCAACCTGAGAGGAAACCTGAAACCCTAACTTAATGGAACCCCAAAGCCCTGAGCCCTAAACGCTTCAAGGACCCCTACAGCCCTAAACCCCACACCTTTAAAAGAACCCTTGAAGAAGTCCTGACAGATCCCTTAAGGGATTCGCTGTTTTTGCCTCCTCCCAGGGGTCTGGGATGCTGGGTGTTGAGCCCAAGTCTGCTCCACCACTCGAAATCTAAAGCGTGCGCGACGGAATTTCCTCGTCTTTACATAAACCAGCAATACACAGGCCTGAACTTTAAGGGCTTCTAGATAGAATACTCTCTAGGGCTTCACATGGGTGGCTGTCAAAATTATGGTCCCTTTTTGGGTACCCTAGATATTAGGCGCCGCTTCAAAATAAGGACCTAAGATGGGACCCTAATATTGACAACCGCCCAGTGTCTTGGCTTTAGAGCTCGGAGCTAACACTGAAGGCTTTACGGGCTCAGGACGAGCTTGATCAGGGTCACAATGAGACTGCGCTTCGTTCTATTTTCTACTATGACTAGTGCTGGAGTTGTAAAGGTTTCTGGGCTTCGAAACATTCCGGAGAGAAACTAAGTTACTTCATACAGTTTCCTTTGCGGAACAGACCCTCAAAAGCAACAGCGCATGGTACTCCATAGTATGGGTGGTTGTTAAAATTATGGTCCCTTTGGGGTCCCTAATGATACGGCACCTATTATTTAGGTTAGCCCAAAAGGGACCCTAATTTTGACAACTACCGACATGGGACTCGGTACAGTTATTAAGGGGTCTATAGGGGTACTAGAAGGGTTTAGGGTGTCAGTACTTGGAGGATCGTGGGACTTAGTAAGTTAGAAGTACCCATAAGAGTTTAGGGAATCAGTTTGGCAAGTCCTCAGGCCCATGTCTTGCACCTGTACACGGCTTGAACGAGGAACTCAGAGTCAAAAGCTCCGGGCGGGCTGACCCCTTAAAACTCGGGTCCCCGGTTTCCCACTGTAGTCGGGGTTTTGGGGTTTCGGTTTTAGGGATCGATCAGGGATCTGTTGGGGGGGTTTAGGGGTTTAGGGTATAGAGGTTTAGGGGTTTAGGGATTTTGGGTTTTGGGGTTGGGGCCTTAGGATTTCCTCACCTCCGGCAGGCGACCCAGAAACAGAAGAGATAAGGGTACGACTGGAAAACCGAGTTTAGGGGCTAGCGCATGTCCCGCCATTGCCTTCGTTGCTCAGTTCAGAGCTCATGGGTCGAAAACATTAGGGGGGATGGATGTCAGCTCGAAGGGGGTATATGATACTCGCCACATGGGAATAATTACAGTCTCAAGGGGCTACATAAGAACAGCAAAAGCTTGCCAACTCAGATAGAAAGTTGCTCAACACCTCGCCATGTTCACCTTGATTGGGCTGGCAGAAATACTGCCCAGCACAGCAGATCCTTCGTTGCTCAGTTCAGAAGCTCAGAAAAACTTTAGCTTTCAGTGCTAAACGGGATAACAGTATCCCAATAAAGTAACGCATACCTAACCCCCGCACTCATAAACCCTACGTTACTATCTAAGGATCTGATAGCCGTCGCCACTCGCACAAGCTTGGGAGCAAGGAGCGCCTTCAGGAAGGAGATGACTGTTCCTCATTTGCCACCCAGAGATACAAGAAATGTAGATATGGTGGTTTCCGAAAATAGGGGACCCTAATGTAGCACCCTAAATAGTAGGATATTATAAGGAGCCCAAAGTAAGGTACCCCTAATTTTCGGAAACTCCCATATAGGGCTTAGAGTTTAGGCCATAGGATTTGGGGGATCAGGGTCAGGGTTTACGGATGTTGGGACTTCGGATTCCAGGACCGTCAGAACACTTTCGTAGCATTTTTTGTGTCGGAGCCGCAGCAGTTTAAGGGTTGGGCGTCGAATGATGTCGCGGAACAAATCCCCTACAAAAACCTCTAAAGCCTCCAAAGGCACTCCTTCGAGTTGGGGGTATCGAAGAAGCTTGATTCAGAAACCCCTCTCCCAGGGAGCAGTAGAATCCGGTACTTGGAGGATCATGGGACTTAGTAAGTAAGGTTGTAAGTACCCTAATTGGGGTTATAAGTAATTATAAGTATAGTTACCTTATTTATAACCCTAATTACTAAGTCCCATGATCCTTTAAGTATCCTGCACGTAGGGCATATGGCCTCCCAAACCCAATAAGCCCTGCACCCGAAACCGTTAATCAAACTCAAACCCTAAAGCTCCGATGGAGCCCCTTGCAGAACCCTATACAGCCCTTTTTACAGAAGCCCAAACCCCGATTGAGGGGCCTAAATAGTTTCCAATTCTGTTTTAGGGGCTCCTTGTTCTAAGTACAGTATAAAATGCGCAAAAACCTTGTTCGAATCGTCAAGGCCCATATTAACTAGCCCTATCGCAGCCCTTGTAGAGACCATTTAAGGAGCGTAGTTTCATTATGCAGGGTCCCCTTCTAGAACCCTATAGAACCCCTTACAGAAGCCTTTCCAGAGGCTCATACCCTACCCCGTTTTTGTTGGATACCTAGTTTTACGGCTAGGATCTGTTGCATAGAAAAGTAGATACCCTAAAAAAACAAGGGTAGGGTATGAGCCCACAACCTCAATGTTTTTTGGAGAGCCGAGGGTCTTTACATAAGTGTTGAATAGCTGGGAACCTGGACCTCTCGCATCGCAGCGAGGGAAATCGAACTTGGCCTTCGTCCAGCACTTCCTGGGTTCTTCAGGAATTAGGGTTTAGGGTTTATGTTCAGAGTGTGTCGGTTAAGGAGCCACGGTGTAGGGTTCCGAGTTGTAGATTTCGGATTTAGGCTTTGGGGTTTAACGCTTGGGCTGAGGGCTTAGGCGCTTGGGTGTGGGATTACGGCCGCTTCCTGGGCCCCTAACGATTGTGAAGTCCGGTCTCTGGTTAATATTTGTAAGGGTGTGAACAATCAGAAAAGGGTGTTGGTGTGTACTATGCTATATAGTTACAAGCAAGGACCGTAAAGAATGGTGTTACTCGTCATTAAGGCTTCAAAATGAACTGACAAGGGTGTGAGGTGCAGGGTTAAGCATTCAGGGTCTAATCTTTTTGACAAAACAAGGAGTATGTTGCGGTCTTGATGGCTTGTTGCCTTAAGCAGGACCTTTTCAATTACGTTACGTTTATGAGTTCAGGAAGGCTGCATGCTTTACAGAACCCTCCCCACAGCTTAGTTGGCCCTACCGTATTTGAAGGAATTTGCCATGGGCTGTAGGGGAGAGCCTGGGGTTCGAATGTTACATTAAGAAACAAGGATGAGTTACCAGAGTCCAGATTTATAGCATGTAATTATCATGTAACCATGTATTACATAGTTAACAGCTACCCAGTTTCCCTTGGGAGGGCATGACGACAAAACCAGCACAATGCGGATCACGTGAGCAGAAGTCGGCACAGAAGTTGGCTGATGCAACAGGACCTGCGTAGCTCAGATCGACGGCGCCAAAGTCCTTGTAGCAGTTCACTTCTGGCAAGTACTTGTAGTCAGGGACAGACGATGGCGCGGCTGGCCAATGTTCTGAAGATGACTCCGCCAAGTCCTGGGCTTTCGTGAACTTATGTTACCAAAAAAATGATAGGGACACCATTTACTTACTGTACTATAGGGGCCTTAAATTCTTAGAATAGAATTTTAGAATAGAATTTGCGGGTATATTCTGCTAAAACTAGATTGCTAAAACTATACTTAATTTCCCCCCAAAACCCTATTCTAACTATCAAGGCCCCTGCATAAGATCCCTACTAAAATTTGCGCTCCTTAAGATAGCCCAGCATCTGCTGGCTCTAAAGGCTGCTTCTCCGTCACATAGAGGTCGAAGTGCTTGGTCTCAAATTTACACAGGCCCATGTTGATGAAACCCCGCATCCAGCACTGCTGTTCGGAAGGCATGATGACGAAACCCTCGCACCTAGGGTTCGCATTGCAATGGTCTGCACACACCTGGGGCTGGAATCCATTCATTCTCGCTGCATGCTAGCATCTCTCGTAGAACTGCTTTGCTTCTACGATTTTGGTTGAGAAAGCTTCTCTCATCTTTCCAAAAAAAGAATCGACTTTAAGTCAATACACACTACTTTTCCCTGCTTGAAAGCCCGTGTGTGACGAGCTGCCTTCATCATCCCCTATTCTGCGCAAACTACCGTGCGATCCAACCATATTCTTAAGCCGTACTGAGACGATACTTAGGGTTATGTAGGCTTTAGGAGTTAGGGTTGAGGGTTCAGGATTTAGGGTTGAGGCGTATTCGGCAGCCTGTGCTGACACCTTCCCGACATAGCCAACGTCCACAGCAGAGGCTGCTCCTTGCAGGTAGTTCGAACCCAGGCCAGGATCGTGCCAGCAGTTCGTTCCAGGGAAGTACCGGTAACCCGGCACGAACTGCCTCGAATCTTGGAAGTCGAGGCGTGCAGACGATGTTTATACACATGTGCATCTACCCGTCATGTGTATATGTATATATATGTACATGCATGTATGTGCTTGTATTTGCATAATGTGCAAAGCAGTGTGTGCATACATATATACATATATGCATATTTTTATACCTACACATTCTTATCTGTGGCTTCAAGATTGTACTCTCTCTCTCTCTCTCTCTTTCTCTTCTGCTTTACTAAACCGTTCTTGCTCACATACTCTGCTTCAGTTATGCGGTAAGTTCTACAAGCCTGACATGTTCGGTCTACGCCTGACTTCACATCACAGGTTGAAACACGCCATGTGCTCCGCAGTTCGACTATACACGATCGACTCGTGCCTCACTCAGGGCCCCCAACACACACATCAGCAAAACAAGGATAGGGATATCCTATCCACAATCCCTTATAATGAAGCCCAACAAGGTAGTGATATCCCGCACAAAATGCTTAATTGAGGCGTTGCCAAGCGAGGCTTAACAAGGGCAGCTTAATGCTGATTTCAAGCCAACTCTGCGAATGAAATTTGAACAACTCCTACAGGGAACTCCAGAAAGTTGGAATATGGTTTAAGGGTAGGATACCTTATAATTACCATAAAGGGTTTAGGATAACCATATTCCAACTTTCTGGCTTTTACTTTGCAAGGGCCGTGTTCCGAGTCTGACCGCTATGAGGCTAATCGTTGAATGGCCTGGGAAATTCCCTCGTTGAACGGGGAACTCCCCAAACTGGCCGATTTGGGGTCCCTGATATGCATAAACGCGCACATGTACTCAAACATACAGGTTCATCACACAGTGTGCAGGCACGCTTATATACCAAAACCCCGCGTGATTTCACGACTTCCGTTCTAGAATCTTTGGTTTCTCATAAACACTTCAAGAGGCAGCGATTGCTCACGTCCATCTTCGGAATCTGCTTGCTGCGCCGACTGTGCTGTTCTGGCGCCGCGGATGGACACCGATGTGGTGACGGAGCCATCTGTACTCCCTAAGCCGAAGAGCCCCAGAATCACAACGTGAGCAAGGGACATTGACATGGCAGTTGGTCTTCTGTAAGACCGTTGAGCGAACTACTTCCAAAGGGTACCGAGCCACATGGCAGTCATGGCAGGAAGGAGTTCTTTCTTGGAAATTAGACAAGTACCCTATACTGTAGCTCTTACAGAACCTGTATGGGTTTCCAGAACCGGTAGAAGCCTTCTAGAACCCCATAACTCCCTTAAAGAAGCCCCTTTTTACTAAACGTGTCTTTCTCAAAATCCAATTATCCTACAAATCCCAAAGCCCTAGCCCGAAACTAACCAAAACCACCCTAAGGCCGTGAACCTCAAGGCGAACAAAAAGCCCCCAATCACCAAAACCTCAAGACCGCCAACCCGGAACCGATCGACAACTCTCTGCGAAGTCCGCCATCGCTGGGGCCTTGAGAAAGTACTACGGTTGATGATATAAATCCTGCATTACCTTAAGGATCCTAAACTATGGGAATTATGGTATATTCCTTATTATGGGTGATGCAGGATTTGTATCATCAACCGTAGTATGTCTTCGGGCTCCATAGTACAAGCATACTCTCACCTACCGTCTCATCACCCTCTTGTCCCAGGTATCCAACCCTACCAAACGCGTATACAGCCCAAAGCCCTATGGAACACAACCTTAAAACCCAAAACCCTAAACTCCCTAAGCCTAAACTCCCTACACCCTAATCTCCCTAAACTCTAAATCCTTTGATCCTAAACCCTCAAACTTACGTTTATTTCTCCGCCGGCCTGCCGATGGCGAACTTTGGACCTGAGACCAAGGTCTTTACTGGCCCAGAGGATTGGGGGACTTAGTAAGGCTTAAGGGACCAACAGGCCCAGCGAGCCCCATACCCCTTCATTAAGGAATATGGCTCAAATTATACAGGGCTTCATATTATGATTTAAGCTATATTCCTTAATTAAGGGTGGGCTCTCTGGGGGGGGGGGGTGCTACTGGATTTGTGGTTTATGGTTTGATGGTACGTAGAGGATCATGTTACTTAGTACAGTATGAATAGGGTTTAACGGCGCTTCAAGGGATCTAAAGGGTACTATGAGGGTTTAGGGTCGAGGTTTCCCATGAGACTTAGCAAGGTTTTAAGTACCATGCTTGGAGTCATAAGTAGTGGTAGATGCAGGCCCTGTGTACAACTTGTATAACCCTAGTTACAGAGTGCCATGAGCCTCTAAGCAGGGTTGGACGCTAAAAGCGATCTATGGGGCTCTTTAACTAAATTTCCGCGGTGTCTGTAAGAAGTCTATGATGGGGTTTGTTATTCATTGTAGATAAGCCTTTCCCAGCAGGGTTCCATAAGGATTCTGAAGCTAGGTGTATTATGGGGCTCGTAACCTAGCTTTCCCATGTTCGCCATCAAAAACCTTGGCAGACGAGGGGACGTGACTCTAATGAATTGGTGCACCGTCCGGATGGGCTATGTTTCCATGTTCTGCAATGATTCTATGGTGATTCTTTGGAATTCGGGACTCAGCTTTTCGTTGAGAACACAGATTGCCCTGGCAGCTATGAAGCCTCTGGCGGAGCCATGCAACTCCCGCTCAGCAACGCTCCACCCTAGCCCTCAACCCGAAACCCTAAACCCTGACCTTTGTTGTGCCATCAAAAAAGCGCTCAAACATCAATACTAGCGGAACCCCGGAAGCATAAGAGAAGCCCCGATGGAAAAACCATAGAAACCACTGAAACCTATTCAGCACCGGTCTTTGAACTATATAGATTCTGACTCAGATCGTCCCTAACACGAATCCAGGCCCCTGAAAGGATCCAGATTGGTAGATCCCCCAGTTCAGAACCCAATGCTACCAAAGGCTACTACATAGGAACTTCTGAAAAGGGGATCTACCTTTCTAGATCCTCCCAGGGATCTGGGAGGAACCTCCTCCTTGCCCCGAAAGCTCCGCCTCCGAGAGCTTTGTTGACCAGCTTGCGCCCTGGAGTTCGGGGTTCCCAGATAGGGCTTCATATTATGATTTAAGCCATATTCCTTAATTAAGGGGTATTGGGCTCTCTGGGTTCGCGGCTTGGCTGAAAAGGCTTCAAGTGTAGGTTTTAATGTAGGAGCCTTAGTGATTGGAATAGGGTTTTGGGCTCATTTATAGAATATTTATATTTATACAAGGAACCCCCGCAAAATAATACAGGAAGAATTAAGGCGCTTTATTAGGCTTTAGGGTTCAGGTTTGTTAATGAGCTCCTTGCGGCGTCTCCAATGGTTCGGGAGTTCAAGAAATGTAGTTTCCCTGGGTGTTTCGGTGAGGGAAGGGTTCTTCTTGCGTTCATCCCAGCTGCGTGGCTTTAGGGTTCAGGCGCCACATTTCAGGTTCTGAAGGGGATGTCTCCGAAATCTATAAGGCTATAAGGATGTTATGCAAGGGATCACACAGTGTTTCGGACTTGCGGCTTCAGGGTTGAAGGGGGTGTGAGGGTTCTTCAAATTAAGGAATTTACAGCCAGAAAAAGAGGGTTATCGGGCTTTTGTAACAATGTGCTATATTCAAAACCAGGAACCCTGGTAATGATGTGAATTTATTGGTGGTTTCTTGTTGTAGTCATATAGTATAAAACCCTATTCCAGAAAAATAAGAAAAATTGAGGTCTCTATGGTATCGTATTTGCGGGTTCGATATTATAGTTATACTTCATAAAACCCTACTCCAAAAAAAAGGCCCCTATACTGGGATTTGAAGTGGGAGAAAATGTATAGACTTTAAATTTCATAATGGTTACTTTAAGGAACAGGTACCCAAAAAAGTATTCAAGTATGGTACTCCAAACCCAGGTATAGTATCCAATTCTCGCCTCGAGAAACTCTGCCGAGGGCTTCGAGTCGACGAGAGCCTGGTGCCACGGGGCTCTGGAGGTGCTTTGGACTCATGGCTTTGGGTTTAGGGTTTAGGGGCTTAGAATTTAAGGTTTAGGGTCTATAGGGGCTTAGGATTTAGGGTTTCGGATTTAAGGTTTTTGTTAAGGAAGGTAAAATGCAAGTTGACATAACAATGAAGAAACCCTATCATGTACTATAGATCCCTTTAACGGTAACCTTCACAAAACTCTTTAACAAGAAAAAAATTACGGGGTTCTTTCAAGCCTTATAAGGATGTCCATTCTGCAAAAGGGGGCTCTATGATGGTAGTACAGTTGGGCTTAGTTGACGAGTAAGGGCTTTGGAGTTTCGGGGTGCAGAAGTTCTCGCTCTGAGTTGAGAGTTTAGGGCACAGGGTTCAGAGCGCTTGGGGCTTGCAAGTTTAGGTGGTTCGGCTTTGGTTTAGTCTGAATAGCGGAGGATTTGCGCATTGGAGGCTGGCAAGTCCAGGGCGTTGGGTTTAAAGTTTCGGTCTTTGCAGATTCAGGCTGCATGTACCGTCGTTATTGTTCCTTCGAATATATTGGCTTGCAGGAGTTTGGGCGCTGGCTGCTTTGGTTTTGGAGGCTTAGACTCTGTGGTCTCTCCTAAGGAAGGCCTCCATTCAGTGACTCAGTAAGCAGTTGCCTTGTAAATAATAGAAAGGACCCTTGTCTGAGAAATTTTGGTTCTCGGGCCAAGTTGTAAATCGTAACTAGGTTTAGGGCTGCGTGTTTTTACGAATTCCTGCCAGGCTAGGGTCGGACTATGACTAGGGCTTAGGGGACAGGAATCCAGGAATATAGGGCTGGGGTGAAGTCTGCTGGGATGCAGCGACGTACATTGAACAACACTGGACCCTGGGCGGGGGACATAAATGCTAAGGTGCCGTCACCAGACGTGTCAAACAAGTAGCACTGATACCTGCGCTGCAGTGTGTTCCTGCTGAAGCGGCAGTGAAATCCAGGCCCACATGGCAAAAGCTTTGCATGGCATCGTGGTGTTTCATGGGCAGGGCTGGAGTGGAAGGTCTTGGCACCCAATCGCTCTGACCGAGCCTGCTTCAGCAATATTGACCAGGTCCTGGTCATGGGGCTGGTCCTCAGCCGGAAGACTATTGAAGGCTGCCAAGATCTCTTTCGAGTGGGTTGTGCCCTTGCCGTTCCTGTCAGACGCCTGACCCATCATGCACGTCATCATTCGATTCATCTCTTCTCTCGAAAGAGGCTCTCCGAAAAATAGGTGAGGATCGACATCACATAATCTTTTTTGACTGGATTTCCTTGTTTGCCAGCCCCGGCACCGTTGGGTGGGAGACTCGACAGGAAGTCGGCATGGAGGGCCTTGCGCTACTTCAGCATCAGAAAGATTCAAGCATGCAAAGGGCCTGGGTGATCGAGATTAAACCACCTTGGCTACCTGTTCATTACGATGTTTGCCTCATGGCGACCTCAACATTCTCTTGGTAATAGTTCCCGGCTTGGGGTGAAGGAATAGGGCTTAGGGGTTTGGGATTAGGGTTCGAAGCCCATGCACACAAGAAGCTAAGCTTTCAACGGGTACGGGGTTTTTGTGTGCAGGATTTTGGTGGCAAGTGGAACCACCAGAAACTCTAACCGACACGCTTCTCAGGATAGCAGCCCTTGTGGGTGGCTGCTTTTGGGTCCCTATTTTTGTACGGCACCTTTTATTTAGGGTACCCAAAAAGGGGGCATAATTTTGACAACCACCCTCATTGAAGCTTTTGAGGCAACCCCCTGGTGGAACATCCGAAGGCCTCCATCACGGCTAAAGCATCGTCTGCGCAGGCGGCTTCTTTGACCTGTCAATGAAGGTTTGTCCAAAAATCAGAAACCAGGCAACATAGTGGCCGTAATAATTGGACCCCAAACCGAACTAAAATTACAATAGGGGTGTCCGTCCAGCCGTCAATAGTACACAGAATCACAGGGCAAAGGTTTTAATCGCTGGAACAAGGTGCATATAGGCCTACTCTCGTAGCTGTTATACTGCCAGTAGACCAATTGGGCTCAAAGAGTTATGGGATCTGTTATCGTCTGATATAGAGCCTTAACAGCCGGCATGGGGTTTGTACAGCAATTCACAGCATGACTATATAACACTGTAGGGACACTAAGGAGGCATGATTGCTCAGCATTTGGGACTTTCCGAATATGTGTGACCCGAATATAGTAACCTAAATAGTAGGATGCTTACTATAAGGACGCCAAAATGAGGTATCCCTAATCTTCGGGAACCCCATCCACACCTCTATAGACGACGATAGTACTAACACTGTGAGATGAGAAGTCCACCTTGAGCCTTGAGATGCAGGGTACCTGCAACCTACATGGGTGGTTATCAAAATTAGGGTCCTTTTTTGGGTGTACTCTAAATAATAGGTGCCGTATTATAATAGGGAGCCAAAAAGGGACCATAATTCTGACAACCGCACACATGAAGCTCTACTCATGCTCACCCTTGATACAGTTCGGACACCGTACACCCCACATCACGCGCTGATACAGGAGCCTTAATAAATAGACTAGGGGTTTGTGAGATATTCTACTACCAACATATTTAGGAATCCCGCCCCCGGAACCCTATTCTAATCATAGGGCCACGACATTACCCCAAACTCTGCCCATAAGCCAGCTACAGCTGGGGACACTCGTCTCCTGGGCTCCTGCTTGGGCTCAGAAGTAGAGCCGTCATCGGGTCGTTAGTCTGGACTTACTAGGGGGAAAAGGTCCTCGTTCGATAATGAAGTGCATTAGAGGTGCTTTGTAGGGTTCAACCTAATATGGGGGCCTTAATGATTAGAATAAGGTTCCCTTTAAGGGGCTACTATGATATACAGGGGCCTTAAGTTTCATGTCCCGAGCTCATTTGTGGGATGCCACTTTGAGTCTGGTAGGGCTCGGTAGACGAGAGTGACCATTCTGAAGTAAAGGTTTGAGGGCGCGCTTCCCTCGACCCAAAACCGTCGGCAAAGGGCTATGTCAGAAGCTGCCCCCACCCCGTAATAGTGACTATAAGGGTTATATTAGGGCCCCATTATATTCCCATTATGCCCCTATTACAGGGTGGGGGCCCCTTCCAAGCTATGCTTTAAGTTGTATTAAGGATCTTGGCCTATATTCTGGGTGGGTTCACAGGAAATCATAACACCTCACAATGCAGAAACTCGCCATCCGGCAACCAAGCCCAAAACAAAAATCAGGAGGGGAAGAAGTAGGGCAAGTTGTAGCGGTGATAACGACACCAGAAAGACTAAGCTGTACTTAGAACAAGGAACTTGGCAAGTAGTTGAAAAGCAGGGTTTCAGTCGAGATAAGCCAAGTTGGAGTAGCAGAAACTCCCAAATACCACAACTAATTAAGCAGGATACCTGAAATAGTCAAGGAATCCTAAACATGTTTTAAGGTATATCACCGAATCAGGAAGTCGGGACTCATTAAGCAATATGCCCCTAAACATCCTGAAGTCAAAGTATCAAGCGAAGTAACGTACAACTTAGAGGATATTCCTTATTTGAAGGGTGTTGGGCTCTCTGACACCGGCTAGAAGCTCCGAACTAAGGCCTCTGGGAGTCTGGGAGAGTTTCACCGGAACGGTCAACCTACTCACCGCGAACCTTTCAGACCCCCAATCTAAATCCTACAATGCAGGGACCTTAAGAATTTTAATAGGGATTTGGGGGTCCCATATATTATTCTAGACATAGACAAATATACCGAAAAACCCTATTCTAATTATCAATCAAGCCTCCTACATGAGAGCCCCACAGAACCTTGTGAAGCCATATCAACCCTTAAGGAACACCAGAACCCTGAACCCTATAGCCTTACAACCCGTATAAAGTCAGATCGATCCCAAAAAACACCAAGCCCTCAGCCAACAAAAAAACCCAACCCTAGGTGTCGAGCCCAGTCGAGTAGGGCACCCTACTATAATTCTTAATGGGGTTTTGCAAAGTGCCGTTGATAATCCGGAACCCTACAGTAAGGGATCGTGCTACTAAACATTCCGACTTGTATATTTTCCCGATCTTCCAATATCCCGTAATGAAGATAAATGCCTTAATACTTGGTAAGTTCCCGAAAAAGAAATTGTGGTTAAAGGGTTTTTGCATGTTCTGGGTGCTTGCCTGGTCAAGGGCCATTTGGAAGCCCCATTCGTCCACCTTTCAGAAGGACAGAGTTTAGGGGTAGTTGCTTAAGGCTTTAGGTAGGATTTATTGCTAGGCCGGATGGGTTCAGGGTTTAACGGCTTAGGCTTTAGGGTTTTTATCTGGGGTTTCAGGGTTTTGCTGGTGCTGGGGTCAAAGACATCTAAAGGGTTCAGTAAATTCCATCCCCTGAAAAGTACGCGAAAGTCTATTCTTCGGAGATCCCGTTGATGAAACCATCACCACCAAGAAAAACAAAATAACACCCAAGAGCCTTGTAGTAAAGGTGCTACTTACATACGGTGTTAAGACGTATGATGGTTTTCGAACAACAGTGAAAAGGTTTAGGCAAAAAACAGATTTAGGCTTTAGAAGATGGGCAGGATTAAAGCTGTAGGCTTAGGAACTAAAGCCTTGCGGCGTTTAGGGTTTTAGGGCTCGTTGTTGAACCGGCTTTCTCGCTCTTTCTCTGTCGCTGGCTCTCTCTCTCTCTCTCTCTCTCTCTCTCCCTCTCCCTCTCTTTCTACATATATATATATATATACATATACATATACGTATATATGTATAATTAAATGCAACAAATACCATACATGCAACCTTGGCGTAACACTTTACCAAGAGGGGACTTTGCTTAAAGGTTTCAAGGCCGTTACTGGGATATGACGGAGCCTCTTGCTTAGGAAGCAGCGCGCACAAGTTCTTTGCACGAACCCTATCAGTCTTATTGTTCCAACCTCGGCATCAACTGTTTGCTGGTCGCTGGGCTTCATGACCCGCTAATTATGGTAGGATCATACAGACTCACGCAACTAATGCTGAAGGGTACAGTATCTGCTCGACTTCCTAACATTTCTTTGCTGCGAAAATATTTCTAGTCCGCCTCCATGCCCTCCTCTTCAGACTCGGCTGGCTTTGCAGCCTGCTGCCATTGCATTGGGGGACTCAACGTTCACGGTCTTGAACTTGGGGGAGTCGCAGGACGCAGAAAACGCGGCTGAAAGAATGATTGTAAATACTCAATCAGGTGGTACCTAATACGGTGGTTAAGAAGCTTGTGGCTGGTTAGCCAGGAATCAACAAGTGGATCCTTTCCGCTGTTCCGAATCAGGACGGGTTCTCCTGGCGAGCGATACGGTCAGCTTGAATCAGACAATATTCAAATCACGCTAATGGCATTTTAGGGAAAACGCATTAAGTTCAGAATTTACCTTTGAGGTTAGGGAATCTGGGCAACCACGTCGGATTTTCGAAAGCAATGCAGTTTATGGCTTCGCTGCGGCGGATCTGGAGTTTGTGCCGGTTCGAAGTTGCGAGTCAAAGTTGCGGGTTTCCTGCAGTGGCTGAGAACGCTCGAAATTCAACAGGCTCAGGTCCCATAATCCGCCCTGTCCTGGATGCCTCGGCCACGGGTGCCTCTGCCGGTTTCTCAGCAGCCTTTGCTTGGCAGCTGCTGCCTGAAGAGTTGGTATGAGGGTCTGAATCTGGGGCGATTTCATAATAGTATTCGGGGAGCGGTGCCATGGTGGATACACCGCAAGCGCATATTAATGCAATACAAGTATCACTACATACTTGCATATTGCGGATAATTGTCAGCTGTACGATAAGTGGCGGCTGTGATACTTGATATGCAAAGCTTACTTTGCGGGTCTACGATGTTAGGACTCGTGCTTCATCGGAAGCGCGAAGCGGAAGGAAGGCAACACTCGCCACAATAGCAGTACTCCGACAGCAATTGTGGTTGCCGTGACCGCGAATAACCGATTGTACCATCATGTGCTCGAAGCAAATGGGAGTTTCCGAAAATCAGGGGTATCGTATTTGTTGGTACTGATAATGAGGATCCTACTATTGAGGGTACTATATTTGGGTCCCTTATTTCCGGGAACTCCCCAATCTAAAGTTAAAGTTGCAAGCCGCTCGCTTGGAGCTTCGGTGTCAAGGAGTCGTCGAGCTGACTCTGAGAATTTTGCGGCTCTGGCAAAGTCTAACTCGCCTCAGTCCAGACCCACGGGAGGATCCAAAAAGTAGATCCCTTAATGCGGGTTCCTATAAAGTACCCTTAATAGTATAGGGTCCCAAATTAGGGGATCTACTTTCTAGATCCTCCCGGGGGTCTGGGAATGTGTAGCCCAAGTTGCCAGCACCGAACACTCTTTGTAGGATCAAAAGCGCATGTTATACAAGCAGATTCGCAAAAGCAGACTCAGGCAAGTCGAAGAACATTGGCACACATGACCCGTTCAACTGTGCTGAATGTCAACAGCAAGCGGAATGGCAAAGCACAGTTTTCCTGAGACAAGGGCCAAGGCATCTTGAGCTTTGTCAGTTGCACTGAAATCGGCGGCAAACCATGGAAACTTGTCAGAGCTTGTTCAATACTCTGTAAGTGTATGCCGTTCAGCACCGTGTGCAGGGACTTTCACGATGATGTTGGGAGCGGCAAGCATCTAGTGCCCGCCGGGTATTCATGGCCCCAGTACAACCCACTTATTGAATCCCCCGATCGCTCACGCGGCTTTGAGACCTTCAAGATCACAATGCCTACTTGGAGGATCATGGGACTTAGTAAGTAGGGTCGGAAATACAGTAACTATCGTTATGATTAAACATAACACCAATAATTAGGGTACGTACTTATTAACTTACTTACTAAGTCCCCTGATCCTCCAAGTACCCGACCCCCAATCGCAGACCGTAGTGGCATTCGGATTGATCCACGGAAGATGGCGACTTCAAAGCACTAGTTGAGCGTAAGACTCTATTTGGAGGATCATGGGACTTAGTAAGTAAGGGCTTAAGGGTTCCCTTTAAGGGATCTATAGGGGTACCATAAGAGTTTGGGGTTCAGGGTTTAGGGTCCCCTTGGAGGATCATGGGGCTTCGTAAGAAATATTTGATACGCACCCTAACTGGGCTTAGATGTTATTAATAAATATTATTGTTATAGTTCTCTTATTTATAAGCCAAGTTACTAGGTTCATCTAAGTGAACCCTAAACCCGACACCGCGCGGCTTAGGGTGTTTAGTTGCTGAAGCTAAAAACTACACTCGTAAACCCTTCGAGCTACCAATATGCAGCATCACCGCTAACCCTGAACCTCAAAGGGGCAAAGAAATCGCCAGCTTCACATGAAACCCTGCAAGCTAATGGTAGCATAGGCGCCTTTATGGAATGGGCTTGGGAGTGCATGTACATGTTGGTATAACTTGATAGGACCAGAAACAAAGCAAGGCAGCCAAGCTTTTTGGAAAAGCACACCACGATGGTAGTCCAAGAAACCCATCGTGAAAATAAACACTCGTCTGAAAGGGTCCAAACTGAGCGGGTTTGGGGGACCGCACACTCTGCTGAAGGCGTTTCGGTACATAAACACCCATTAATCACCTGGACCCGTTTGGGAGGAACCGACATCTCTGAACCGAAACTGGACCCTGAACCCGAAGGGTCGCCCCCTTGCAGCCCTAAATCGTGAGCCCATAAACCATCCAAGCACAAAGACCCTACAGGGTTACAAAGCCCCGTCTCTAGGACCCCAGTCTGAATCAAGCTTCTTGTCCACTATATTGATTAGACCACCCCTCAAATCTTCCTGGACATTCGGAAAGAGCTTCCCTACTAGCCCCTCAGTTTCAAAATGGATGCCCAACGCAAAAAAGAGGAACACATGATTCTACTCGGAACCTGGTGAACTCTGAACACTTACAAGCAACCCTTATACGACCCTTCAACAACCTGCAAACATGATGTAAACCCCAAGTTTAAAGCAATGAAACCCACAAAAACCGCGTAAAACACTCTAAGCCCCCTGGAGCCATACAAACACCCGATATCCCCAACCCTAAACCTCCTAACCCTAAGCCCTACTTGGAGGCTCATGGTTAGCAAGTAAGGTTATACATAAGGTAACATTATGAACTGCTGCCAACCCCAATCAAGGCACATGTAACAGTAGTTACTATGTCCCATGATCTTCTAAGTCACTTTTCAGAAAACCTGAGAACTCCCTGAGCCCCGTAAACCCTAAAAACCCTAATCCCTCTTCTCCAGGTCCCGCGGCAGATGGGCTCGGGCGCTTTTTGTGTTGCACCGGTCGAGCTCTTCTCCACCTTGGGGCTTCCAAGGTGGGGGGCTTCTTTAGGGTCTGCCTTGCCCGAACCCTGCAGGGCTTAGGGTTTTGGGTTTATGGTTTCAGGTTGCGGGTTTAGGGCTTACCTGAACCCGAAATACGCTCCCGTTTTAGGGCTCCGTTTATGGTCTCCTTGTACAAGTCCTAAATTATTAAGGCCGCTGCACTAGGGTTCACGGCATGGTGTTTGGAGCTTCGCTACTTATTAAGGGCTTCTCTGAGGAAGCTATAAGGGTTCCTTGCAGGAGTTTATGAGGGGTTCGTTAGTGGGTTTAGGATATACTGGCCTTGTTTGTTAGGATGGGATGTTGTGGATTGGCTGTCGTATGTATATTTAGAGGAAGAACCCACAGAAATAGTGTAGAATTGCTAGTTATCCAAGCTTCTTTACCAGACCCAAATTCCTGGACCTGGACCCTAAAACCCGAAACCCTGAAATGTGGATCCTCTACTTATTGAAAGGCTTCAGGGCAGCCGGTTTCGGGTTCGGTTTAGGGTTGAGGGTTGCGGCTATCAGTTCCTGTTGCTCTCGTTTTGTCCTGAGGGCTCCGCCGTTTCAACGGCGAGATGCCCCTATCAAACCTGTGCAGGAACCATGCTTCAGACAGACACTTGAGCCCTAAGCCCTGCATTGAAAAACGATTGCCCCTTGTAAAACTCTGAGCCGAACTGGCGTAAACTCTCCAAGACTAGTTTTGAAGGGATGGTTTCTACAGACCCTCAAAGAAATCCTTTGGTTCATTTGAAGGAGGGCTGCAGCACTTGAGGTACCGGCCCACCCCAGGTGCTGACCGCAGACGCTGCAGAAGCGCGAGGAGCCCCGGATGGCCATAAGGTTGCCTGTAGGATTTTGAGCTTTTCATGCTTCGGGTTTAAGGATTCGGCTTTGAGGTTTGGGGTATATGTGTATATACACATAATGTGTATGCGGTGCAGAGTTCAGCACCACGAGGTTGTCCGTAGGAATTTCAGGTTTTACATGTGACTTGTAGTATTTTGTAGTGTCACAATGCTTCCACCGGGTCCTGCAACTACAGCTTCCTACAGGTCGCAGGGGTGTAGTGTAGCGGTTGCGGGGGTTAGGGTCTGGGGGTGAAGACGGCAACGAGGTTTCAGTGCATTGCTGTTGGGGAGTTTGAGGTTCCAGGGGCATGAGGGTTACCTAAACCCTAAACCGTTTCCTTGGAGGCTCTGGTGACTTACCCAAAGGCTCCTATGTACCGATACAGTAGGATGTAGGGTTTCCATATTAGGAATTACTATTATTATGACTTAAGGAAGTACCCCCCCGTAACAGTACATAGGACCCTTTGGGTTAACGAAACCCGAAAAGACCAGCGCCTCTATGGACGGACTGCCAACATGAACCCCTGCGACCCGAATATAGGAGCCTAAATAATTGCAGTGGGCTTTGGGGCATGTTATATTACAACCATAAGAACGAACCATGAGGAATTGTCCTTATATATATATGTATATGTATATATATATATATATATATATACATATATATATATATATATATATATATATATTATACATATATATGTCGCTTTCAAATTTGTAATTCACGATGCGCCCTCGAAGCCCTGTAAAGCCCTCTACAGCCTTCAAGTAGCAGGGAACCTTCATTCAGTCTCCCGTCACCATGGCATTGGTCCACAAGGTCGCCGCAAAGCGTACAGAAACCCAAGCCAAGCCCACAAAGCCTTTCGAGTTCCTTCTTGAAGGCTCAGGGGGTCCAAGAACAAGGTTATGTGTAAGACTGAGACTATGAACAAGATCGTAACTCTACGTACACTCCACTTACCATTCAGGTCCAAATACCCAAATGGTCTAAACATCCAAACAGCACCGTAGGACTTAAGTTCCCAACGCCAATGTGTAGAGCCCTGATTGCTGAACCTCTGTTCTTTAAGGGCCTTGAGATTCGGATCCCTGTTATAATCCATTGTTGAAGTCAAGGAGGTTACCCATCGGGGGTGTGCATTTTGCTCCAAATGATTCTTAGCACCTAAAACCTCATGCTTTAAGCACTCAGACCATTCGGGTATAGGATAAGCAAAACAATATGTGTCTTCTATAGGGCCCTAATGATTGGGATAGGGCTTGGGGGGGTTACATTATCGTCTACTTATGATGCAGACTCCTAAGGATTAGCATTGACAATGCTTCAGGCTTATTCGATACTAGAACCCAAACCATGGGCTCTAAAACCCAAAACCCTAACTTCGGAAGGTGGGGGATAGCGCTAACCCTAAACCCTAACCTCTAAACCCTGAACTTTGGAACGCAATGGGTAGCAAAAACACCACCTAAACCCTAACCTCTACACCCTGAACCCTAAGCCCATAAACTCTAGACCCTAAACCCAAACCTCTAAACCCTGAAGCCAAAAGCCTTTCGGAATGATTCCGACCTCTGAAACTCGGCGCTTTTTCCCTAAGTCCGCTCCCTTTGGCCTGGGGGCTTCGAGTCCGAGGAGTTTTGGGAGCCTGGCCGAGTCTTCCTTAGGCCTAGCGTATACCGGCAGGTATTAGAAGCTGCCCCCCACCCCTGTAATAGTGACTATAAGGATTAATTAGGGCCCTATGTTCTATTATACCACTATTGCAGGGGGGGGGGGGGGGTGCCCCTTCTAAGGTAGGTATGTCATATAGGGGCCTTCCTTAATAGTTACAAAATGGTTTTGGGGCCCATGATACTATACTTG